CTTAATTAAAATAATAAAAAAAATATTTTAGATATTCAACCAAATCATTGATACCTGTCAATTTATAGTCAATTACATTAACTTTATAGTAAAATTATTTATTGCACGTTACAAGCACCCAAAATCATTAAGTATATTGCATTAGGTATCTAATCACACCAATACAAGTTTTTATTATTAATTACAACCACTCTCTTGAGTTTCCTTTTCTTTCTGCATTCGTGTGAGGGTTCATCATTCATATCAAAGTAATATTTTCCATCACCACTTCTCGGTGGCGAATTGTGAGGAATGTTTGCTGCCATTGTCCCTTTATGGTTCCTTTCCTTTCTCTCTTTCCTTTTCTTCTTTTGTTTCTTAGATGATTAATGAAGGTTTTTTGTGACAAATCAATAATGGAGGCAGTAGGTATGGTTTGGAATTCTAACATGGGAGATGATTCAATTAAATTGGTTCTTGTTCGGAAAATTTTACAGATAAGAAGTTTGGTCAGCCTATGGTCCTATCGGCTATGCAGAAGGCATGGAATATAAAAGGGCCTGGTGGTAGTTGAATTTTGTTAGAATTTATTTGTCTTCCCATTTGATTCTATAAAAGAAGGGCAATGGATTCTTCGATGCAAGCAGTGGTCTATTCAAGACCATCTCCTTTACTTACAAGAAAGAGGCCAAGTTATGGTTATTAATGAAATTGATTTTTCTAAATGCTTGTATTGGATTCAGTTGCATGATATTCCTTTGGAAGCTGTGGATGTTGAAAACATGATTCATTTTGGTAAAAATTTTAGTACTGTTTTGATGTATGAAGAACCTTGTTGGAGTGGCAAGTTGTTGTGAAGCGCTTTTTGAGATTTAGAGCGGTTGTGGATGTTAATCAAGTTTTCGTTGCTAGATTTTGGATTTCTCAATAGATGGTAGGAAGTCTTGGGTGAAATTTAAGTATGAAAAATTGCCAAATTACTACTTTAAACATGGTTGAATTAATCATCAGCCACGATTGTGTACTGTAAAAAGACTCAAATATGAATATAATCCAAATGAGCCTAGATATGGTCCTTAGTTAGTGGCAGAACAAGGAGTCAGGAAAATGCTTTAATTATGAAAGATTTTGATTGGTATGAATTAGGAGGTGGAAGTAAGACAAAGGGATGTTGGAAAGATAATCTAGTAATGTCATTATAGATATATTTAAAGGAGAATGGTAGAAAAAATGTGCTATCATTAGTAGAGATGCAAGAGTCAGGTAAAAAAGAATGATTATTCTCTAATGCAGTTGAAAGAGAGTAGTAAATAAAATGTATTATCATAAATGGAGTTGCAAGAGTTCAGTGGAAAAAATTATTTTGTAAAGGAGTTGAAGGAGAATTGTGAGAAAAATACTGCATCTATTGTATGGGATAAAGATTTTTGTTCTATTCCTATGGATTTCAAGGAGTGTAATTGAAAAAATATTTTATCTTTCAGTGGAGATGAAAGAGTCAAGTAAAGGATTTATCATTTGTGAAGTAGAAGGAGTATTGTCAAAAAATGAATATTTTCTAGTAGAGGCAGGAGTCAAGTAGAAAAATTAATCTTTTAAATTACAGTTGAAGGAGTTAAGTCAAAAAAAATTGGTTAGTGAGAATAGTGGTGTCAGGTATTAAGAAGCTGGGTTGTCTATATAGATAAAAAGGAATAATAGGTTGAGTGTTGTTTCTAATTGGGACTATATTTTGTGGATCATTTTGCCAAATCTGGACATGAAAATTTAGGCTACCTAAGTACTTTGATAAAGGTTATGTGGTCTAAGCATCTATTGATGATGAATATCTTTCAAAGGCCATATTCCCTTATGTGAAGTGAGAAGTTATATATGAGATTATTGAAAAGTTAAGATTGGTTAGTTTTAAATGTGATGCAGGTGAGGAGTTGCTAACTGGAGTAGTTAAGAAGAGAAAAGTTAGGGATTGGCATGTTGATAAATAAGCAATATTTTTGTCTATGCTTTTCAATTAAAGAATGAAAAATAGAGAGCTCGAATATCCCATAAGAAAGTTGTGAGTCGTGTGAAAGACGCTGGACAAATGAGATCTAATAGAACTCCCTTGGCTGAATTATCGATTAGCATTGATTGTAATAATGAAGCTTATGAGTTTCTAAAAGATGCTAGAACAATATGGCTGAAGATGTGGGTGGGTGGCCTTTAACAGCCCCAAGTTGCCATGAAGAATATTTCCTGAAACTGTTGTGGCTTGGTAGTCTTTACAATAAAAAACCTTATAGGGGTTTATAGTAAATGTAAGCCCTTTGTTTTTTTATAGAGACAAAAATGTTGGAGAAAAAGTTGATGTGGCATACATGGGAAGATTTATGTTGATCTAGATGGCAAATTGAAGGTTTAGTCTTATGGTAGTGAGGTAGTTGATATATAGCTCTCATAATCCACTGCATGTTCACCTGGCTTCATTTATGATGAATATGCCCTCTTTGTTTCATTTGTGTGTGGCCATTTTGTTGAATGGGAAAGAAGGGTGGTTTGGAATAGATTGAGTCACTAGCTAAGGGATGGATGGTTCATGGTGTTGCATTGGCAACTTTAATGACTTAGCTTCAATTTTTAAAATGAGGGGTGCAGACTGAGGGCTTTAAGAATGCAGTTGAATTTCCATATGCTACTTTTAGATGTGGCTTAATGGATATTGGTTTTCAAGAGCTAAGATTTATTTGGAATAATGGAAGGTTAAGAGAGAATCATGTGAAGGAATGTTTAGATAGGTGTGTGAGGAATGCTGAATTTATGTTGAAATTTCTAAAGGTTTTGGTTTTTCACTTAAAGCTTGTAAGTTCATATCATTATCTTCTTCTTCTAGATTGTTGTTTTCTAGATGAAAGATATAAGAAGAGTTTCAGTTTGATGTTGATTAGGTGTCTCACGCTGACTATGAGGCAGTGGTTAGAGAGGCTAGTATGATGTTTTTCATGGGTGGAATAATATTGGTATGAAGGTGGTGGTGTGTCAATGGAATTATTGTAAGAAGGTGCTATGAAAGTGGGGCAAAGTTGAATTTCTTAATAATAGGAAATTAATTGATGAATTATTGAATATATTATATATTTATAACTATAGTTAGTAGAGTGAAGAGTCTAGGATTGAAGCAAAGAGTATTGTTGAGAAAATTGATGAAACTTGGAAAAGAGAAGAGCTTTTCTAGTGGCAGAAAGCTAGAGTTAAGTGGATTAATTTTTGTGATAGCATTTGTTGCGGCGCAGAGCCAGAAATAAAGTGTTAAGATTGAAGGATGATAATGAAGTTTGATTAGAGGATTTTGGTAAGATTTGTGATGCTTTTACTAGTTACTATAAGACCTTATTTGCCTCTGTTAGTTTGAGACCTATAAAGGAAGCTCTTCAATATGTTATTAGAAGAGTAGTTTTTGATTACGATAATTTTTTGCTGTTAGTTGTTGTATCTTTTCCAGAGGAAGCTATTTTTCAATTGAATGCTACTAATGCCTCAGTCCTGATGGATATACAAGTTTGTTATATCAATCATCTTAGTCTATGGTAAAAGATGAAATATGTAATCTAGTTTTTCAATTTTTTAAGGGGAGGATTGGCTTAAATGACATTAACAAAAACAGCATTCTTCTTATTCCTCAGATTGATAAACCTAAAATTGTTAATCATTTTAGACCTATAGGTTTATGTAAAGTTGTGTATAAGATCATTTCAAAAAGTTGGACTAATCGTATGGGGAGTTTGATAAATAAGTATAATTCAACAACAAAGAGGCTTTATTTTGGGTGAGTTGATCCATGATAATATTGTAATAGCCTATGAAGCTTTCCATTATTTAAAAGGTAGGAAGGATTGTAAAATTATGGAATTTGCCTTGAAAGCTGACATGAGCAAAGCTTATGATCGGGTTGAGTAAGACTTTTTAAGGTTTGTCTTGATTGAAAATGGGTTTTGCTTTGAAATTGGTTAATTAAATTATAGAGTGTGTTACATTTGTTGAACTTGAATTGTTGATTTTAGCATTGATAAATTTAAGCCCTAAGAAGGTGTGAAGCAAGAAGATCCTCTTTCTTCCCTTCTTTTCATAATCATTGCCAATGTTCTATCTCATATGGTTCTTTATCATGTTCTATTTCATATGGTTCTTTACCATGTTGTCCAATTTTAAAAAAATTCATTGATTTTTATTGTGTTGTTTTTCTAGATGAATAATTAATTTGGATAAATTTTGCTTGTTTTTTTTTCTTGCTAATGCATGTATAAATTTGAGAGATGAAATTTATTCTGGTATGCAAATATTTGATGCAATCTAACTTGAAAAATACCTTGATTTACCTATTATTTGGGATCATTCTAAGGTCACTTCTTTAGCTTTTGTTAAGAATAAGGCGGGTTGAAAATTCAGGATTAGAAATAACAATTATTGAATTTTTTAGAAAGAGATGTTTTAATTAATGCCATGGCAAATGCCATTCCTATTTATTTTATGGCATGCTTTCCTTTTCCTATTAAGACTTATAAGGAATTGGATAGTTTGATTTCAAATTTTTAGTGGGTTATGGTGAGAAAGGTGTTGGTAAAATTCACTAGAGAAGATGGAGCATGCTAACTAAATCAAAGTTGGAAGGAGGCATGGGTTTTCGTGATGTTAAAGCTTTTAATATTGCTCTTCTTAGTAAAATTGATTGGAGATTAATACAAAATCCTGATGATTTTGGAGTAGAATTTTGGAGGGATTATATTTTCCCAATTGTGATTTGTTTAAGGGAGGTAGGAAACTATCATGGTATTGGCGTAGTATTCTTAAAGGCTGTGAATCGTTTGAATTTTTTTTTTTTTTCTGTTTGGCAAATTAACGATGGCGAGACTGCTAATCTGTGGAGAATGCTTGTTTTCCAAGTTTGGAGGGTATAAGATTCTCTCTAACAAAAGTTAAATTTTGAAATATTATTATTATTTTTCCAAAAATTATTATATCTTCTACGTTTTCCCCTAAATCAAATTAAAATTCCCTTATCCTTCATTTGTTACCCTTCTCGAGCCTTGACGCCCAACGATCTCCCACAGAAGAAGCCCTAGATGGATCTCCTGAAGCAAGAGCTTCTCAAGAAGCGCCAATCTCTGGCCGAAGACACCGGGGGCAAGCGATTTTTTAAGCGGTCCGAGATCGAACAGAAACGAATCCAGAAGCTTCGCGAGCAGGAAAAGCGCGAGTTAGAAGCTAAATCTCAGCGCCATGCCACCTCCGCCGCCGCCGACTCCGCCGACCCAACCTCCTCTTCCAACACCTCCAAACCTGCCAACTCGATCGTTTCCAACGCCGCCTCGTCCGCCTCATCTACTTTCAAACCCCTAACGGACGAGCAAAACATCGATAACCTTGTTCTTCCGAAACAAGAGGTAATTCGCCGACTCCGGTTCCTGAAACAACCCGTCACCCTCTTCGGTGAAGACGACGATGCTAGGCTGGATAGGTTGAAGTATGTGTTGAAAGCTGGTTTATTTGAAGTCGACAGTGATATGACAGAGGGGCAGACCAACGATTTTTTGCGTGATATTGCGGAATTGAGGAAGCGGCAGAAAACTGGGATTCTGAGCGAGAGAAAGCGGCAAAAGGCAGATGATGGGTCGGTGGACGATGGAGAAGGTGGCGCCGGCGAAGAGGATTTGAGCGCAGATGGCGGGTCGAGTGGCGTTGACGCTGATAAGGATATAAAACGAATGAAGGCTAATTTTGAGGAATTGTGTGATGAGGATAAAATTCTTGTATTTTTCAAGAAGCTGCTGAATGAGTGGAATCAGGAACTGGATGAGATGCCAGAGTCGGAGAAGCGAACAGCCAAAGGGAAGTCAATGGTTGCCACCTTCAAGCAGTGCGCGCGTTACCTGAACCCTCTTTTCAAGTTTTGCCGGAAGAAGGTGAATTGCTTTTCTTTACTCGGTCACGTGCTTTTGCTTGATTTTATTCATTCTGTTACTCATTATTGTAATATGGTTCGTATCTACACTCTAGCAACCTTCCATCTACCTGGTTTTAGTTTAATCAAGAGCTCACGTGCTAATTCATTCCTAAGAATTCAACCACAAGGATAATATCAGGCAGTCACTCACTCACTCTTATGATTCTTTCGAATGTGCAATAGAAGACTGTAATTTGAGAATAGCTTTACTATAGTCTATTGGATGGGTAAGGCCGTAATCATCTAATGTTTGGGCCTAAGCGAAAGATTACCATATCAATATCAATTTGTATAGTAAAAATCTAAAGCAATTCATACTATTCATAAGTCATCAATAATCAATAATATGTCTTATTTCTTAGACTCTACAGTATAAATACACAAACGTGTGTAATTTTTTTGTATAGGTTACCAATACCGTAACTCCTTTAGTACAACAGAGGGGTAATCTTGTAATGAGATGGAGAACGGTGCTAAAATATTTAGTGAAGCAAGCGAAATAACTGACAACAACTAAAAAAAGGTGATTTCTTGCCTGACAAATGAACGTATCTTTCTTTTAAGAACAAAGATATATCAGGCAAAAAAGAAAAAAGGTAACAAGAATATAGTAGATGATGCAAAAATATTAATTTCATCTCTATTCTCTACCTTTCCCCTGTGGTACTATGCCGAAAGAAAAAAGATCCTAGGTTCACTAGGATTTATGTTCTCTCAATGTCTATTTAAATGACAACATCCTTTTAGCGTATCTTGATTCAAAGTATAATTTAGTACTCTCTCTGGTCCCAAATATACGCATTTGCCCTAAGTTAATCTTGGTTTAAAAGTATAAGCAATCTAGTACATGTAAAAAATCCCCCCCCCATTTTACCCTTTGTATTCATTAACCTAGATCCTTATGGAAAGTTATTTCCTAAAAAACACCGATACGGGTACGAGTATTGAATATGATACGGTATAATACGCGGACACGATAATTTTTAAAAATTTTAGGATACGGGTATGGCTATATAAATAATTAAAAATTAAATGTTAAATGTTAAATATTTAAATGTGTACATATTTTTAATTTCATAATTTCATATTTAAAGTTAAAAAGTACAATTTCAATATGTCCAATAAATCAACACTCAAGATCTAATATCTTATCCGTGCTTCCCAGCCCAAGCAGTAGATTTAGCAGTCAATAAGAGCTTAAAAAATATTCTTAACAGCCTGACAGTCGCAATACCCAGAACCAGAATCTAGCATATTGAGGAGTGGGAACTTCAAGTCTTGAATATATGGGAACCAGGGACACCAAATGTGACAGAGCGCTGGAGAAGAAGATGAAGAAGAAGAACTTACCTCAAACTTAGAGAGACAGGGCGATGGAATCACGGGTTGAACTGCTGAAGACACATAGCACCTTGAGAAGAAGCACTGCGAGTCCAGAGTCAATGACTGAAGCGACGGAGCTCAGACCTCGGGTGAGACAGAGCACCGTGAGTTGTGACTGAATATTGAAGAAGGACGATGGTCGGAGACAGAGAGTTAAAGTGAAGCTCACGCAAGAAAGGGGATACAATCGACTGAACTGGATGAAGCTTAGTTCACCGATTTTTGGAAATGAGAAGAAAAAAACCAGGCCAAAATGCTGAGTTTTGGGCACCGCCCGTGTTTGCCCGTCTTAGCCCGTGTCTGACTAAAACCGGAAAGCGGACGCGGCGTTTCCGTGTCCTGAACGCGTGTCCGTGTTGGATATGTATCCGACACGGACACGCTGGGATTTTGCACGTATCCGTGCTTCCAAGGTTATTTCTCACTCATCATAAAGTGCATTGATAATTGGGGGCTTGAGGCTAAGGGTAAAAAAGGGAGAACAATTTATATTTTTATGAGAATGAGGACTTCAGTGGTATGCAGATTTTCTCTAAAAATTGCTTATATTTTGGACCGGAGTAGTATCTGACTCCATCTGTGATCTGTCATTAATCTGCAAATTGCTAATTATAATAACCACCTTCCGTTTGGATTATTAGTTTTGGGATGTGAAACTGATTGACCATAAGGATGTGTGAAAAAAAGCTGAAGTTTTGACATTTTATCCTGAAAATAGTTCATATTATATTTTTATGAGAATGAGGATTTTATTGGTATGTAGATTTTTCCTAAAAACTGTCTATATTTTGGACTGGAGGAGTATCTGATTCCATTTGTGATCTGTCATTAATCCTACAAATTGCTAATTATGATAACCACCTTAATTTTGACATTTTATCTTGAAAATAGTTCAGCCAGTCCATATTCCACAATCCACATTAATTTTGGAAAGGTGGTCAACGATTCGTACGATCATTCTGAAGACCTAACAGGAGGCTGTATGCCACTAAGTTATTCTCTCAAGTATTTCCAGTTTCAATCTCTCTTCTTCTTGGCATAAATTTAGTACTTCTATACATACCTTTTGATTGAAGTAGTCTTAGAAGGAGTAGAGAAAAGACTGGCAAGGCAAGTGGAGATGGTGTTCTTCTTATCAACTCTATGTTTGTGGGGAGTAGGGTTTGGATGGTGATTAATATATTAAGACTCCTTTTGGTTTTTTTCGGGGAACATTGTAGGGTGTAGGCTTGTATAGTAAAAAAAACTTATGATTTTTGAAGGCTCCAAAACGTCAATACAATATTAGGTGTTCAACAATTGATTACGGAAATTCTCTTGTAGTGAGCATAACCAGTAGCATCTGTGTCTATTAAATCTGGAAGTCATTACTTCCTTCTGTGGCTTGGAGTTATCTCACTTTCGAAGTCGGTTGACTTGGCCTATGGAATTTAGCGGATTTCTGGAGCTGCTTTGCACTTTTTTAGTTTGAAACCACCGGGACGGGAGGTATCTGTATTTTTGGAGGACATGCAGTGATCAAAATTATCCTTTAGAAAGGAATTCCAAATCTTGAAGTCGAGAAGGGATGCAAACTTATTTTTTGAAGGTTTATGGGACCGGGTTTCAGCTGTTTCTTTTGGAAGAATATGCAGTTGATCCAAATCCCATCAAGGTCAGCTTTTGTGCATTTACAGCCTCCTTGGAAAGGACATGGTACCTGCGTGATTTTTCTGAGGGCGTTTCTGATTGTGAACTAGTGTGTTGGATGTGCATGACTGGTTACAATGTTGTCTGGTTGGTCATGGTGCTTATTCATTTTTCTAGTTGGACATTTGCTTGCTAGAAGATGTAGAGGTGCTTCTAGTTGAGTAATGAAAATGCTTGTCTTGACCGTGACATCTCATTGGTCATTTGTTCTAGGAGCAACAATAAGATGTTAGTGATTGGGAGCAGTCATGATAAACTGAGGCCATCTAGACTAGCAAATTTCTTGTCTGTTGGATGCTCTCTCCTTCGCTCATGAGTCATTTTATTTTTTGGCCCCAGGAGAATTTTGATAATTAGATGTTTAGTTTTGCCTCTCTGCATTTTGCTATCCGGAATTTGCACCCCTTTATCAATTTTTAATCATCATATGTGAATGCAAATGGTGCATGTTCTTTGCAGGTACTTCCTGATGATATCCGTCAGGCGTTATTGCTTATGGTCGAATGCTGTATGAAGCGAGATTATTTAGCTGCAATGGATCATTATATAAAGCTGGCCATAGGGAATGCACCCTGGCCTATTGGTGTTACTATGGTTGGTATTCACGAAAGATCTGCTCGTGAAAAGATTTACACCAATAGTGTAGCTCACATCATGAATGACGAGACAACACGAAAATACTTGCAGTCAGTGAAGAGATTGATGACATTTTGCCAACGACGCTACCCAACATTGCCATCTAAAGCAGTTGAGTTTAACAGTTTGGCAAATGGTAGTGATTTGCAGTCACTCCTGGCTGAAGAGAGGTTTAGTGGGGTTAATCAGGCATCTGAGGAAAGGCTTCGTATAATGTCTGGTCCGAGAGAGAGTTAGCGATTGACGACATGCTTGTATTGAGATATAACATCTTACTTTCTCGTCTTGTGATGTAAATTACGTTTGTTTACTTGAAACCATCTGTTTCTGTTGTTTAAAAGCATTATTTTTTATTTCATCTGTAGGGAGGCCGGCTAACTTGCAGATTGACTGGCCACCATGGGCATTGCGCTCCATGGCGAAGTGTACCCATTTGTGGGTTGAAAACAATCTGCGAGTGATTGGATTAAAATTGGGTAAAGATGCAAATATATTTATGAATTATTTTTTGGAAAAGTACTGGGCATTTTATATTATAAAAGGTGGGGGGGTTAAAGAAGACCATCGACTAAAAAAAATGGAACATCTGACACTTTTTATTTCTAACAAATGGATATTTACTAGAACTGTGAGGCTCACATTTATTTAATTCTCTCTCCTTCCTCATCTGTGGGTTCAAATTTCCCCTAAGAGGGAAGCTCTCCAAAGCCCAAGTTGATTCTCATATGGTTCGTGAGGAGGTCAATTTGAGAAAACCTTCACCAAAAAGCTTAACCAAGAGAAGGTTTCCGCTCTCATCACCAACTTGCAATGCCCAGTAATAATTTCTCCAGGCTTCACTCTTGAACATGCAGTAACGAGTCAGTAAGAACATTTTTGAGTCTTGGTCTTTGGTGTCGAAGTATATCGAAACAATATTGAAACCTAGCCTTCAATGCCAAAAGTCAACAGAAATTGGCTTTGATGCCTAGTATTTGATGAATAAAGTCTGCAGAAATAACTTTAATGTCCTTCCTTTAATGCAAGAAGGCAAAAGAATTAATGTCGCGAATAAGGTACTAAAAACTGAATCGATTATTAAATCAGACTTGTGATTGAATTGGGGGTCAAACCAACAACAAATTGGTCATTATTAAAATAATAAAATTTAAATAAAAAATATTAATTATCAAAATATTTATTAATATTTAAGATTAATGTCTCATATAAGACACAAATATAATAATAATTCTGACAATAATAAATTACTAACATTTCAAATATTTACCGGTACAAGTTTCCTACTTGAATTTTAATCTTGGATAATATTATATATAATATTTAAATATTTTATCATACAAAGTTTCCTATCTTATATCATATTTTATAAAAATAGTTTAGCTTTCTTGAGTTTTTGTGAGGGAAATGAGCATATCGTTCAAAGCCCAGAGGAGGTGTTTGATGACCATGTATGAGGGATATTGCATGTGATTTTAGACTTGTTCTTGCTATTTCTTTTCTTGGTTTATGCAGCTAAGTCTATTGGTTGCCTTTTCTATCATAAAAAAAAAGTTACTCTTAATGGGTTCTCTATCATTGAGAAAAGTAAAAGCATTTGTTTTCAATTTCGACTAACACTGTCCTATATGACCTTCAAACTTCTACTCTACCCGTTCACAAAAGCTCAAATGACAATAGTAGCAAAGAAGGGGAAAGAAATGCAAAGTAGAGAAACAGAACACCAGCTAGCAACACAAATAGAGATGAGCAGACAATCAGTAGCGAGAGATAGAGACGGTGAGGTTTCACTTGAAGCAGCAACATCGATGGTGACTTTTCAAATAGAGATGCACAGAGAGATAGCAGCAGTGACAGCGAATGAAAGATGGGAGAGAGAGAGCGAGAGGATCAATTTGGGGTAGGGATTGATTCTCCTCTTAGCTTTTTCGGTTTAGATGTTCATTTCATTCTTTTTTTAAATCCTACAAATGATGACATTTTAGAGCTTTGGTAGAGAAAATATGTAACTTGTCCAACCCTTCAGGTTACCTTCAGGTTGACTAGGTCACCTTCGGGTTAACTGGGTTAACTGGGTTAACATTTTCCCAATTTACTTGGTAAACCAACTTGGCCAACTGGCCGATTTCACTGGGTTACCAGTTGAACTGACTGGTCCAGTCTAGTTTTTCATTCATTGGTCGCTAATACGTTGACTTTTAGCCGAACTAGCCAACCTTGTTTTGGCTCTGCCAACGCCTCTGACAAGAATAGATCCTTAGTTTTCTCACTTGTGTTCCCCCAGAGTACTCTTGCTAGTTTACTCCAAGCTACACAACAAGGGTTGTCATCACCCAAAACCATGAGGAATAATACCAGAGATGGTGCAACTGATCAGCAGTCCTAAAAAAAACATTGAAGTGCTTGCAGTGATTGAGTGAGAGAGATGTGAGTAGTTGTAGAAGAGAGTCCATGCATTCTGAAAATGAGAGGGAGAGAGAAAATTAAATGAATGTGCGCCCGCAATTTTAATAAACAATTGTTTCTTAAAAACAGATGGAAGGTGTCACATGCTTCATTTTTTATAATTGACATTTTTTTACATCACCTCATAGTATAGGATATCCCAGTATTTTTTGAAAAATAGTTCATATCTAAATTGCGCCTTGTTAAATAAGTATCACAATTTATGTTTGAATGTCTTTTTATTAAAAATTAATCATTTGATCCCTTAAATTTTGACTTAATTAAATTTCAATCCTTGAAGTTTAACTTACTGTAATTTAGTTCATATAGTTTTGACTTAATTATAATTTAATTTTTAAATTTTGATTTGTTGCAACTCAATCTTTATAGTTTTGACCATTTAACATATTCGTCCTTATATCTTGAAACTAAAATTTTGAAATTTAAAATTATGTTGACATTAAGGGACTAAGTTTAAATTACTAGAACTTTTAATTTGATAAATATTATAAAGATTTAATCTTTATAATTTATTTCTTGAGATATAGAGACTAACGTTTTAAATGGTCAAAAGTAGAGGAATTGAATTGCACTAAGTTAAAGTTCAATTATTGAATTACAACTAACTCAAAGTTTAACATTTGAATTACAATCGAGTCAAAACTTTTAAAACTAAGCGACAATGAATAAAATTCAAAAATTGAGTTACAACTAAATTAAAATTTTAAGAACTGAGTTACAACAAGTTAAAATTTAAGATTTGAGTAACAACTGAATTAAAACTACAAGAATTAAATAATTAATTTTCTCTTTTTATTTGAAAAAATAGTTGTTTAACAAATAGCAACTTGTTTAGATAATATAATTTAAAAGCAAGTTTGGGATATAATAACTGAAAATGATATTAATTTTATGATATATATTTGTGAGTGTAATTTTATCTCTTTAAGAAAAATATTAAATTTTAGAAATAAAATATTATTTTGTATTTTTAAAATAAATTAATAAATAAAACAAGAAAGCTAAAAAATTAGCTTCTATCTTAACTTTTATTTTGAATCAAAAGTTATTCTCTTATGACTTTTATTTGAACAATACTTTTGTAACCTAATCTAACTTTTGAAATTTAAATTTCAGTATCGACCATCCAAATTTCAGTTTGTGTTTAAACAAAACATACCTTCATCTAAATTGTGCAATTAGGGTGAGGATTGGGGATATCCTTGCAAATGATCTAAATACAACTAGAGTCTAGCAGCATAGAAATAAAAGTACGCATACAAACTAGTAACTGTGAATAATAAATTGGGAATTTTATTTTTAATATGGCAAGAAATAAATTATTTTAAATAAGTTGGGAATTTTATTTTCAATATGGTTCTACAAGGCTCTTTCAATAAATATGTTGTTAAGTAATTAGATACTAATGTTGTACTAGCCTCAACCTCATCTTCTTTTGTATGTACAAGTAATTGTAATAAGCGAGACTGCATGCGTGCGCGTGCGCACACACACACACCAAAATGCTAAAGTAATGCTTAACAACTAAACTTCCCAATTGACTAAAAAAAATAGAGAGCAGAATCAAACTCTTACATATTTGGAATGGTAGAACCAATCTTCCCAATAAGTGGAATCAAACGAGCAACATTAAGGTTGAAGAACAAAAAAGAGAACAGAGCCAAAATTCCCAATAAAAAACACTTGAAAAAAGGATAGAGCAGATCACACAAAAATATATATCAACATTTTATCCAAAAAAATCACCAGATCAAAATTGAGAATCACTAAATCGGAGGAGGATACCATACCTTGCAGGAGGAAGAGTAGATTAGAGGAAGAGGTTAAAGTTTGATGAGCACGAGGTTTAAAATTGGAGACAAAAGTTGTAGAATTGACATGGAGGTTGCATGTAACATCTTGGATTTCAAATAAGGGAATTTTAGGTATTTAAAAGGGTATAATGGTAAAATTAAGTGAATTTTTTATTAATGATATTTTGGGAGACTAATATAGCTTTTTGATCCTTGAACTTCCTTAAAAGAGGGCTAGATCAGAGTTTGAGAGAGCTGTAGCATTAAGAAAGGCCCAAAATGAGTTTAGGGTTCTCTATGCCATGCACCACAGTAAACGAGCCAATGCACCATGGCGCACATGCAAGAATCTGCACTTATTAGTAGTAAAATCTGTAACATCTCATTTTTTAATTCCCCAAATTACTAAGATTAATAAAGATAATTAAATAAGTTGACGTGGTATGTGGTAAGAAGATAATAATAAGTGTTTTTAGTTGGAATTTCAGGTATGAATTAGGTCTAAAGTGAAATTGGGTCACTTGGAGACCAAAAAGTAGAGAAAAATAAGTTAAAAAGCCTTTATGCCATATGTTGCGGCACATAAGGCCATCAAGCAAGAATTTACCTTCTCTATATCATATGTTGTGGCATGTGGGAATAGGCGCCACAGTGCACAGTGTAAATTATGTAGAAATAATGCGCGATCTGATGTGAAAAATAGAAGTGAAGAAAAGGAAAATGAAGGAGACACACATTTTTTTGCTAGGGAACAACCTAAAGGAGGATTTGAGAAGTCATTCAAGGTAAGATCCTTAAACTATTCTTCTCCTTTTTTCTTTAATTTTCTCAAAGATTTGAGTTAAGGTTTGTTTGGTTCAAAGGGAGGGGAGGGGGAAGGGGGGAAGGGAGGGAAAATTTTAAAAATTTCCCCTCCCTTCCACCTAACTAAAGGAGGGAAAAGGAGCTTAGGGTTTAATGGTGGTGGATTTTTAGTCCATATGGGATATGAGTCCGAACCCATTGACTCGAACGGAGATAATAAAAATTGTTTAAAGTATTTAAACCTAGTATTAATGATTTTGGTGGTGGTTGGAAGATGAGCTCCATTAATACCC